CAGAACAGGGTTTATCGGGTCAGATTGAATCGGTAACATGAATCGGCATACAACAATCGATTTATGGATGCTCAACTGAATTTTCTAGGAAATTGCCCAACTCGAAACATGCATAGTAAATGCATAACATAAAACATTTAATTTTTATCGATTCAAAACCGGTTCTTCTTCAAACACATCTTTCAGTCTAGTCGCTATATTTATAGTCTGGTGGATAAAATCTCGGGAACCACTTGAGCTGTCAAATAGAGGAACCAATCGAGCATATCACGACCAACAACAGAAAAGAGCATATCAGCTTTTGTGAACCGAACTCCGGAAACCCTTTTCTCGTGACCATTGTTGGCAAAATCAGAAATCAATTGATATTTATTCGCTCTCATGCGCTCGCAATATCACGCGTGATATTGGAACAACACATCATGCTTGATATTGATTTTACAAGCTCCTTTGATATTGCAAGGCTATTCACAACGTGCAAAAATCAAGCTGAGAGTTGACTCGACACAAAAATGATTCCATTGCACATCGTTTTCTTAGAAAGAGACAGCATAGTTTGCTATCCCTTTTCAATCTTCACGGATGGCAGACGCGAAGGGACTGCTGCAAGCCATTATGGAAGTTTCGCTTGCGTTCGGGTGTAAAGCAAAAAATCATTAAACTCAATCTCACCACAGTTTGGTGAGATTTGCAGTTGGTGAGTTTTGTTAGCTTGATATTCCGAGCTGCGATATCACAGCTTGCAAAATCAACCGCAGTTGTTTGTTTGTTGATTTTTGTCTACGAAAATCAAGCGTGATCTTGGGCGTAGGTGAGATTTGATTTTCTGATATTTTCCCAACACTGCTCGTGACTCAAGGCTCGCCTGCGCAAACTACCGTGGACCCCCGCTAATCTGAACGACACCTCATTTATATTAACGGGGTTCATTTTTAATTTGAACTTCTAGTAACCGTATCAGCGTGCTTCTGGTTGCCTTATTTGCTGTTTTGTTTTGATTCTGCGTTCCGTTTTGCAATGTTCCATTTCGCTTTACTCCGTTCCATGTGCAAAATGACGTTTAGGCAATTTTTAGTTTGCACGCAGTGCAGATAAGCGGGGTTCAAATTAAAAAGTGTTCAGATTAAAACCGGTCATATTACCGGGGTTCCACGGTAACACCATCATCGGGTCGGAAAAAGTTTTACCTATCCGGTGATGCTGTTAATTTGCGTTCGGTTGACGAGGAAAGAAATATCAAAGTTTTGTTTATATAAGATGATAGTTCCTTTTCAATTGTTGGTCTACAATGTATTAAATTGGTTCCGCTTTTTGATAGATCGAAATTCTATCCGCCAGACTATAAATATAGCGACTATAATCTTTCAGTGGTACCAAAAAATTCCCATAAATAGAAAGTAGGTTGCTTTAACAGTTCCTTTGTGGGCGTTGGAGATTAGATTATCACTCTCTTAAATTATTAAAGTCTGTGGCACTTAGTATTTGTCCGCTTCTTTTTAATTACTGTAGCACCTCTAGTTGTCATTGCAAGAAATTATTGACAGCATTTTGATCCAGAAGGATTGTTTATTTAGTAGTGAAAATTTCATCAGGATTCATATACTTGTTCAAAAGTTATCGAAGATGGAACGTGACAGACGTGAAAAATTCTGCACACTCACATCTTCATCACTGGAGCGACTATGAATGGACAACTTTACAAGGAGGAGTGTCTCCAGAACATAATTTTGCCGTTCATTCAATCACAAAGATCCCGTAAAGTTCTGGCCTGACTTAGCCAGCAGCTATTACAGCCGCGATGTCATAAGCAAAATAATGTCGATTTTATTGAAAAAAGTATCAATCCACCAAATTGTCCAGATTTTCGTCCCATTGAAAAATTTTGGTCATTTATCAAGCGTAAATTGAAGAAATGTGGCAAAACAATCAAAACACCATCTGATTTGGAGAAGTGGTGAAAAAGGATGGTAGATGAGGTTGACAGTACTACCATAGAGGTAACTCTAAGACTAGAAGGTCCCGAAGAAACGAGCTCAACTTTTTGGCTCAGCTCTGGTACTATCTTCGGTCCCAAGCTAATCGATTCACCCCTCGAAACATAGGAAAATCCACTAACCCCTCATTTTATCTGTCAAATTTTCATAGCGAATCAAAACAAACATAGTGTAGTACTGGAATTTATACTAAAATGGGATACGTTAATCGATTTGCTTGGGACCAATAGGCTAGTCAAGTAGTGAGCCAATTTAAAATCGTTAGTTTCGTATTGATTGTTGGTACTACCAACAATCAATACGAAACTATCGATTATAAATTGGCTCACTACTTCACTAGCATATTGGTCCCTAGCAAATCGATTAACGTACCCCATTCTAGTAGACATTCTAGTACTACATTATGTTTGTTTTGATTCGCTATGGAAGTTTGATAGATAACATGAGGGGTTCGTGGATTTTCCTATGTTTCGAGGGATGCATCGATTAGCTTGGGACCGAAGTGAGTACCAAAGCTGAGCCAAAAAGTTGAGCACGTATCTTCGGGACCTTCTGGTCTTATAGTTACCTCTATGGTACTACTGTGCAAGACATGATGAGAGGTATTCCGCGAAAAGTTCGAAAATTCACCCAAAAAGCTGACGAATAACCAAAGCTAAATAAAAATCCTACAAAATTATACCTTTAACGTTTTCGTACTTTATTTCCCCCTGGAGAAATCACCTATTTTGTGCGGCCAAATTCTAAATGGAACAGACTTTAATAGCCTGAGGTGTGCGGAGTCGATCACTTTCAATTTTCAACTTATTTTGCTTGAAATATATTCATTTTCTTGCCTTACATCATCTCAAAACTAGTAATCCTATATCATAGAGATTTGTGGAAGCGGCCAGAATTTTCAAAATATGAGCCAAACAAGAGTTCTCTTTAGAATATTTTATTGAGTTGAAAAGTAATGTAATCGAGGTGAAATAAATTCAGCTAAAAGTTTATAAATAAAAATTAATAATAAAAGAATGACACCGAAAACTCTCACTTTAATCACCATTTTTAATTTGTTTGTCCTGTTTGGTGTGGAGTGCGCAATATTTCTGTTTTTCAGCAATATTTCTTGATTTGTTCTATACACTTGCGTGTGCTCGAAGTGATACTGGAAGAAGCATTAAATTTTAACTAGATACCGCCAAATAATTAGCATTGTAACATACAGTGCACAAACGCATAGAATCTACTAGAAAAAAATCCGACGGTAGTCTGCCAAACTCCAGCCATTTTTTGTGAACTTCCGCGTTTTTCGGAAACCGAAAAAAAAATTCGTTGCTCTTCAACGACCGCGGTAGGGCAACACTTGGCAATGCACTTCACATTCAATAAATTTTATTGTTATATTAGGGAAAAATTGTTCACCAGATCACTGAGAATTTAAACAACGTAAGCAACCAAGCTCGTAGCGTAGACAATGATAAAGTCACGCATAAAGCTGGAATATTTTGCTCGGTGGCAAGTGTTGGCAGCTTTTGAAAACAAAATAAATCACTTTTTCAAATCGTGTGATAATGTTTTTGTGAATCTCTGTATTCAGGATTACTACTCAACACTAAAGTCCTCCAAGTAAAAGTATGGTCACAAACAAACAGGCATAACACTCACAATCACTTTCTTCGCAAATAAGGTTTTAGTTGGGAATGTGCTCGCATCAGTTCTTGGAAATGATAAGGGGACCAAGGCATCCCACTGGAGACATATACAGTAATGACCCGGTTTTGTCAGCCCCCTTTTTGAAAATCTTTTCTAATGTTCTACGAAATCCATGCGCTTTTTCAGCGGTCTTATTGAACCAAAGTATACCTTAAACACCCATCTTGAAGATGCATGAGAATGATTTGGAACTACGATTTTATGAAATTAATAAATAAAATAAACGTCTGCACAAGTGCACATTGCAGACGAAATATGCGTATTGGGGTAGTTCAAAATATCAACTTTGCTCAAGACCACTTTCTGATTAGACTTCAAGGTAATTAGTAATTTATTGATTTGAAGCCGATAACTTTCTGAAATGATTGATCGACTGTTTTCAGGGCAACACTGCATCTTGCGCTTTTATTACATAGTAGTACAATGTCACAAGAACATTATGTTCCAAATTATATAGTAACTAATTATCCTGACGTTCAATAAAAAGGTGGTCTTCACAAGTGGTGTCACATTTGTGTTGTTAGCAAACTTTTCCTTAGATCATTACAGCGAAGCGCTAGAACGAATAGAACAAAAAGCTCACTTTTACCATAGTAATTCCCATATAAACTTCAATGGCTAGTGCAGTATGAGTTCGCATTCAAATGAGCTCAAATTATCAGGACCTGATTTGAAATAGATTGAGCTTGGTGGAGGAAAATTGATATGTTGTAACGCCCTAATGCGTATCTTTCAAGGATAAGCAATTAAGATAGTGAAATTGAATGGAAATTACTAATCATTCTCTCGTTCTTCAAACTGCTCACTTTTAGTAAGAATATATTTGAATAAGATGGTTATAGCTACAAATTAATGATAACTTATATTATAAGTTTTAAAGACCAATTCAAAGGTTTTTGAAGAAAAAAAGCATGCTTAGGACAAACTTTCATGTGTCCTTGCCAGAGTTTTCTATTGGAATAACACATCAATTGGGACGTGTAGCCCGTCACCACTAAATTTGTGTTGAGAGTTTTTTTTTTCCTTTACAAGGTTTCCAGTCAGGGGCTGCGTTTAGTGAGAGTTTAGTGACTGGGACTCTGCACCCCGTATAATGTTATGACCTTGTAAATCTTGCACACACGTAGTGACTTACTCAGCCAGCTAACAATTGGCACCATCATCGGGTACACGACACGACTCGTGTCACCATCGTTAGGCACCACTTTATTTGAATAGCATTCATTCGGTTATAATCTACGACGCAAACGGATTGAACGTAATCATCGCTGTTCCTCATACTGTGTACTCTGCTCTCTCCTCCCCCAGGGCCTGGAACACCTGATGCACAGTCTTGGACTGGGAGGGTTGGAGTTTACCCCTTCGCACACGCTGGACGAGCATCGACCCCAAGGATTCAAAACGTCGGACATTGTGGCTCCATTTACGGTCGATTACAGCGAAAGTGGTCCAGAACATCACAAGTTGTCCGTTTCGTTCAACAGCATCGATGACGATCACGTAAGATCGGCCAAGAAAGACGTCACCACAGCGGCATCCCCCGAAAGGAACAGACGCGCAGAATCTCATTATCACCACCAACAGCAAGAGCCGGACAGCTCAGATCGGATAAGGAAATTCAACGAACTACCGGGGGTGAATGATGCCAATGAGACTAACGCCGCCAATGACCATGCAGGCGACGTGATCTCGTCGGAGAGTGGCGAAGATAACAACAAGTTCCACAATGATATATGGCAGGAAACTATCTTTAAAGAGATTCACGATCCACTGCATCGTCATCCGCGTCGGGACGGTAAGCATCCACCATACGTACCACCTATGTTTGTTGTACTTATTGCCTTAATTAGTTTACTGGTTGAAAATAGGTCAACTGCGATCTAATTCCTAATCTTGGACGCGTGATATTGTCTTATCATTTGGAAGATTTGATCTCCTCAAAACACTTGCCAACTAGATGCTTGGGACAAACAAGATTTAAATCTGTCTCAGCTTTTCTCATTACAAAGTACCATGCGTTCTCCACGCTTATGAAAACGTGCGTAGAATAGATTTACAGAAATGAAGAAAAAATGGTGCTATGACGGCAGAAAGAAACAAAGACAGCATTCGGTCTCACCTATCAGGGAGGACTTCTACTGTCACGGCCCGGTGACGAATGACGCCTACGCTGCTCGGTATGAAAATGAACTAAATACGATATCAGCATAATACGCATGCCAAATTGCCAAGCCGGTGTGCCACTGATTGTAATAATAATAATAACAAGTGGCTCTAATTTTTGTGATGCATAAATTGGTATGATAATGTGCGGAGAGACAATTTGAAGCTTTTGTTTCTTGGATGGAATTTAACTTTGATACAAAGGAACAATGATCTGGTGGAGAGAACTTTGATATTCAAGTCGCTTGAGAGTTTCCTGGACATTATCATCGAACACCGTTTTTGAGTGCATTGAACTTGGGTTAATAGATTGCGCTAATCAATCTGATGTTTGTTTCATTTACATAACATGACAAATGGGGACCTAGTCAGCAATGGTACGGTATTTCCAAACCAGAGGCGACGGGTTCGATTCCCAGTTTGGTCATTGTGTTTGCCACACAATATACAATTTCATGCATTGGTTTGCACAAAAAGCTCTCAATTAATAACCGTGGAAGTTCATCTAGAACACTATGTAGATAACTGGAAAACTCTCGCAAAAGAAGCGTTAAAAGCCTAGAAGATGAACATGATACACGCACATCTAATTCGGTTTTTGAATCTCTACTTCTCGCGACCTATTTTGATCAAACTTGTTCTATTAGAAACCTTAAATTAACCCGCTTTTGCTCTTCTCTTTTTCGTAAGGTCAAAGATCAGCAAACCGAAGATATATTTAAAATCTTTTTTTAATCATTGGCGTAACTATAGGCTGGGCTTAGCTCCCTTATAATATTTAAAGCCCCCCATCCCCTAGAAAATATTGCTGCATTGTCTATAGTTCAATCACGAACTCATATTTTTCATATAATCAGTGCAAGTATCACCAGAGATCGCTAAAAGTACGCACACCGTAAAAAGATTTTTTTTTGTTGGGTGATATTAGTCTCTTGCTCTAGCTTTTTTCGAAAACAAAAGAACAGACCGAGCACGCAAAAATGTGAGAGTCGTGCGATATGAGTAAGAGAGCACAAATAAAGCACAAAGAGAGCATACAATAAGCACAAAATAAGCTCATTCCACTTTAAACAGCTCCAAAATCATTGTAAACCTAAACATCGCTTTGGATGTTATTTTTGTAGCGCGGCGCAGTATTTTACTTCAATAATAGGGGAAAAGTTGGCTTGGGCAATACCTTAACCTATTATCGTCAGGGGGGTAAACAAAGTCCTAGAGCACTCAAATTTGGCCAATAGTTGCTCTGAAACGCAATGTATCCACATGCCAAAATTGAGCTCTCAAGGACGTTGTTTACCCCCCTGACGATAATAGGTTAAGGTATTGCCGAAGCCAACTTTTCCCCTATTAATTTTTTGAATTTCAGTACATTCAAAAGTGAGGAAACCTGCTATATGACCAGCTTGCGCAAATACTTACCGTTTCGCCAAACTTAGACAAACGTTCTTGTAGTTTCGAGCAGCATTCATTTGCGTCTAAATACCTTTATTTTTTCCTTCAAACACACGGCAATCGAACTGTGCGAGTAGTCCAACATTTTTGATACTCTCCGCATAATGAATAAGGCGATGAACTTTGTTTGGGCAACATTGAAACAAGTTGAAAAACATATTGCGGAACACAGGTATAGACGTCTCTAATTCAACCAACAGGAAATCGGAAATCGTAGGCGAAAGGGCTATTCGCTTAATTTCACTAAGTACACTTATAAGACTCATAAACTCACAATCGTGTGTAGTTTTGTGTTCGAAAAGAAAAGGAAAAGCTCTCAAAAGCAGTAAATATTGCAATGCTGTTTGCCTTAGGTTGCAGTAGCATCTGGGCGGTAATGGTGGCCATTAGACTAATGCAAAATTTGAAATTTTCGCTCCACAATGCTCAAACGGTTCCAAATTGGACCCTGATTAGCCTCCCAAAATTTGAACTCATTTAGTGAGAAACTGACTTGGCACAAACCATTTGAAGTTTATATGGGAATTACTATGGAGAAACCATAATTTCGGTTCATATCTATCTCAAAATTCACCAGTTCACTCTACTTTAGAAAATGGTAGCTGCGCTTGTAGAAAATTTTCTCAGCTACAATTTTGTTCTGTACCACTTTTTGATCAAATGTAAGGAACAAAAATTATTAATGATTCAAGTCACTGATGTCTTATGATTATTCTCAATCAACTTTTTTTTTTAATCTTTATCAAAGAGATTTTTAGCCTTAGGCTAGTTCATCTCTAGTCAGATGGTTCTCAATCAACTGTTCAGCAGGCAACATTGGTGTTTATGGCGCGTAGAATAGAGGTCAAAAATCATGGCTACTATGTCACACTGCAGAATACAGTGTTGCCCAAAATGCAGTTGCTTAATCTTGCCATAACATTATCAATCTCTTAAACAATTAATAACTATTTAATTTGACGTTTGGCTGAAAAACGATTTTCTGCAAATTTGTAGCTGATAACAATTCCCATAAGAATAGCAATAGAATTTGTTAACAGTAAAATATGTAAAAGGCTAGAAGACAATGAACAAAAAGTTTTGTTTTCCCATAGTAATTTCCATATAAACTTCAAATGGTTTGTGCCAAGTCAGTTTCTCATAAAATGAGTTCAAGTTTTGGGAGGCTAATCAGGGCCCAATTTGGAACCGTTTGAGCACTGTGGAGCGAAAATTTCAAATTTTGCATCAGTCTACTGACCATGCTTGGCATACACAGTTTTGCTCACGAACTGCTCATTTTCTAATAACTTTGCACAGAGTTGATGAAACATAGTTCTGTTTGAAGCAGTCGATAGAATAGAGTTTAAGCTTTTATAAATATGTAAAAAAAAGGAGATTTTAAATCTAGTAATAAACTGTATTAGATTTTGCGTTGCAAAATGGAGTGAGAAATGCTCGCTGCATATCTCGGACTTTAAGAGTAAAAATTCATTTGTGTAGATTCAAATGATAAGATTTACTTATTCTTTGCATGTGTACAGTAAACTATAATCCTAATCGATCAATTACTTTAAAAAAAACTAAATTTCAACAACAGAGTGAAAAGTTATTAACAAATAAGCAGTTGGTGTGTACAATGCCAAGCATGATGGTGGCTGATGGCTTACTTTTTGGTCACGGAATCCATCGTCCATCCAAGTTTGATTTGATGATTTATAAAGTTTACGGTGAATTTGAGTTTTTTGTTTCGATAGTGTAACGCACGCCCGCAACCAGTGAGATTTTGACCACTGAATGCGCTCCTGTCTCGATAACGAGTGGCTTAAGCACCACCTCCGAAGAGGACCACTCGTCTAGGTTTAGTTTGCCCGGCAAGAAACCCAACCTCAGGGTGGGTTTATGAATAAAAGAGACCGAAATTTAGGTTAGGACAATGTAGTAGACTGAAATCACAGGAGTGGAACTTCGGATCAGAAAGTGGTTCCACTTGTCATTTGCGAACACTAGCGAACCTAGCGGTAGAAGGCATCTTCTGCCTGCAGTTAAGATAGGCAGCATGCTATGATAGTGTGAGTGCACATAGAAAGCCCGTGTGGAACGCTACCACAACACATAGCTTGTTGAGCAGAAAAACGAACCATTTTTGATTCAGCGATTTGTTTGCACTTCCCCTTCTGTTCTGTGCTGAAATCCCAGGAGGGATTGAGATCCTCACAGATAGAGGCCGCTTCAAACGGTCTTAAGCGAAAGTTGGTGCTTACCGTCGTTCTACCGAAACACAACAACCCCACTTACATTTATCATCACTGGAGGAACTTCCCATTCAAATTTCCTCTACCGCTCCTGACCCTTGAGTGCGGAGACTGTTTTCGCAGGCAGTCCAACCTGGAGTAAATTCACCTACAAAATAAAAATTACAACAAAAAAACGCATTACGGGGAAAGCTTTAATTTCACGGAACAACATTTATTTCAGTGCCAAATAACGGAAATCATTCTCTAATTTATTAGTGTTTCTAACCTAGGTTTATTCATAGTAATCGTTCCTTTCCCATTTGTTGTCGTGCTTGATAGCTCTCCCTAATTGTGTGTGTGCGGTTGCCTAAACTAGTTCTAGCGATTACTAGCCTATCCTGGTCTTCGAGCTCATGTGATTGTGTGAGGAGATTTGCATGCGTTTGTTTAATCACGGTACCATCGATGTCGTCGCTGCTTTACCTGCGTCAGCAAAGTAGCACCCTATTCAGCATTGGTGGTGTTGCGCATTGCACCCCGGACTTCATGTCGTCAACAATCGGTGCCAAAATCTTATTATAACCATGTTGCTTAACATCTTATGCTTTAACATACATCAAAGGAAATACAGCCTGTAATGATGAATTGAATTATGTGTGCAATTTTTGGATTTTGAAATACATTTATACATCTTATTTTCGCCTCTTGATCCTAGACAGATGCATGGTTCAACGTCATTTTCATATATAATTATCCTCAATGTTTGCGGATACTGCTTAAAGTACTTGCTATTTTGATAGGACTTTCCAAAGGTGATAGGACTTTCCACAGAAGTCATTCACATTTGGTGTTGAAGTTTGCACTGAAACCAATTCTTCCAATGCTTTTCGGTTTGCTGGATCACGCAGCAACATTTTCAGAGTTTGCACAATGGAGATGTACTGAAAAGTGTCCTGGACCTATA